TAAGAAACGTAAAGGTAACGTTAATGGTCGCGGTTGGGTTTAACAAATGCAAAATCAGCAATAAGGAAAAAAATGTTCAAAGCAGTCATAAATCCATTTCCCACTTTCAAAACTACAAATTGTCTTTTTTTTTTAATGAACGCATTATTTTACTCACATGAGAATAAGATCACGTTCTAGGTGCATTATCTCATTTACTAGTTATATAGGCAAAAGAAATGCCATCAATTAGATGGTAAGTACAAAATGAAATCAGACTGCAAAACAACAGTTAGGGTTTGCTTTTGTTACTTTGAAGTAAACTGATCCCTCTTTTAGTGTTATCTCTATGCAAAGCATATTAACAGTACTATTTTTAAAGAGGATGATGTAATAGTGTCCTCAACAAATACATAAGAGAGCAGAGAATTTGGGGTCAGCAAGTTTTTTTCCACTGACCTACACACCAAATTTCTCCAGAAAATGAGAGGGTCCTTCGAGGATTCATATGCAACATGACTTAAAATCTGGCAAAGACTGCATATTTATAATTCCAATTTTACTCTAACCACAACTTAAGATTCAATATAGTCATTACTGGACTGAAGGCAAGGGGAGGGGGGATGAAGTTGAAACCATATATGCTTTTTCATCAGATAGGGTGAATTCTACTCTTTCACTGTTTGTTTCATCACATTCTAGCCATATTCTTGAGTTCAGCACAGAAAAACACTTGTAAAATATTAAATTTTACCATAGGGAAATTGATTTTGCTATAAGAACGTTTCAGATTACCACTTAATCTCAACCAAACTACATCAAACACTGAAAGTAATTATATATATAGTTTATAAAGTAAACTTGATCACTATACTTAAAAGAAATGATAACTTTGAGAAGTACCACAGCAATAATTTTTAAGCTGAAGCAATATAAAACCCTCCTACAGTAAATGCCAGATTCTTCAGCTAAAATGCACAGTCTTGATTTAGTTAAGCAAGTCAAGCGTAAGAGCCACCTCCCTCCTTTCCCTCCAGCACTAGCCTCTCCTTACAGAGCTGTATTTCACTGAAGTTCCTGGGGGGGCAGCGGAATCCACAGATGTACTTTAAACAAAGTTTTAAGCTTGAGCCTTTGTAGTCTGAAATGGAGTGGTGGAAATAAACACATTATCATCACCCTACAGTTTCCACTGACTCCCCAGCCCTCTCTCCCCTTCACACCCCAGTGAGTTAGTTAGAAAGTACTATATTTGAAAGCTACAACTCACACTGCACCTTGGCACTGAATCACCTGATCGTGCCATACAGACACCAAGTTCGTTCCACAATCCTATTAATACGTATTTCATAATTTCCAGGAGACATAAAAACCAAGTTTGACACTTTTAAGACTTCTTACTCTTAGAAGTGTGTGATTGCATATGCAGTCTACCACTTAGAAAATTAGAGTAAAATACACTTTTCAAATTGTAGCAGAAGTATAATTTGCATTTATGGACCCTCAATATCATATATTATGTAGAATATCTAGATATCATATATTGAGCATGCTATCAACTAGATGATATGGGCAAATCATCACATTAAATTCATCTATGTAGAGAGCAGAAGTCAGCAATTCTGACACTCCATTCAACCTATAGCATGTAAAGAACTTACAGCAATTGTCCACCATCAAAACACAACTAATTTATCATCACACTTGCACCCTTCTCCCTAAATTACAAAGCCCTAACAATTCTGACTGATGATTAAAAAACACAAAATAAGCACTAAATCTACAGAAAAAAAATTGTACATGCAAATTTAGTTTAGTTTCAGCCTTAACCTTTACAGGCTAGTTTCTTCTGACACTGTACTTTTCAAAGAACTGGACAGCAATGAACAATAGCATACAAGAGGAATGCTTGATTTACTACAGTGGTCTATAATAATTACAATATTACAGTAAGTTGGTTTTTTATAAACTGTATATTCTTGGTGTAAGTACTTACTATTTGAACTGTCCCCAACAGAGCAAGTAACTGTCCAGATTTGTCCCTGACCTTATTTTGTAAAAAGTCACCCATCCATCTTTGGGAGCAAGAGCTTTTTCTTCAAATTACCCTAGAAATAGCAGGTGCACTGTAACCCAAAACTGGAGGGAACAGAAGCAGCCCCTCTCAGAGACCATTTATTTCTCAGAGCGTGTAGCATAATTGCTAAAATCTGTACATTGCTTAAAAGCTGAGGAAAAGTTTATGTCTAACAGGGGCTTCCTAGCAACTAGTCACTGATAGACACTATATAAAATGCATTAAGAAGGGTTTGCTGGATGTCTTTGCAGGTATTATCAGGGGATTTCCTAACAGACATGTGGATGTGAACCAAAATTCTCTGACTGAGGGTATATATCCATGAACATGCTTTTAGTTAGAGAGTGGGCACACCAGAGAATATAGAATACGGCTAATTACTACCAGAAGATTCTGCCTTCACCTCCCTCACTATCAACCACTTTTCCTAAGTTCACTCACTGCCTCGCCCTGACCCTAGGGATCCATTCACTTTCCATAGCCCAGAGAGGCTGCTGAAAAGCTGTCAAAGTAAATCTGTGCTCACTTTTTGGATAGTTTAATTTCAATGGAGCATGAAACACCCCAGGACGGTTAATAAGTTTAGCCAGGCGTGCTGTTCTCCCTAATATATTTTAATTATGCATCTGTTTTAATTGTAATCAGATTAAGTCACTGCAAAGACACAAATTGGAATTTTCCCTAATGACTATTGGAGCTTTTCATCAGTTTCTAAACACTAACAACGTTTAAAAAATAGGTAGAGCCATGCGCACAACTGTGACATTTTCCAGAAATCGATGCAGTTTCTTTGACAACACAGTTCAGGTCTCATTAGCCACCCAAACTAACCCAAACGCAGAAGACAACTTCAGTCTCTAGGGGCGTCTTCTTCCCCAATTAGCACAAAAGAATCGCTAACGTCTAATGTAAAACTCCCAAACAGAAATGAAAGCCCAGGCTTTTATAAAGTGCTGCTCCATCGATTAGTG